CCATTGCCTCGTGCCATTCTTTACTGTGTGGTCTAGTGAGAGCTTGGCACGAAAATTTTTGGTTCGATGACACGTGGCGCCATTCAGGTGGCAGTGTGGAGCCCGAGGAGCAGCAGCCCGGACACGGAGCTGTCATGGCGGCGCTTCCGGGATGACCTCCTGTACATCGTCGTCGTCGCTTTCTGGCTCAGGTGGTGCTGGTGGTGTTGCGCCTCTGCCGCTTCCGCTCGTTCCACCCATTCCTCTTCTAGAGGAATCATCGTCGTCGTCGTCGTCGCTGCTGTGGCGATTGCCCCTCGTGAACTCTCCTCTAATGTCTTGCTCCAGAATCGCTGCGGCGACTTCGTCCTCAGGTATGGCATAGCTGTGCCCGTCATTTGCGTAAACACGATTTGCATCCATTTGTTCGTCGTGGCAGGGTTGCTCGAGGAAGAGTCGTTTGTAGAAGATGACGTCGCGAGCGTGAGTGGACTTCTGGCTGAGTAGATTTAAGATTATCTATGCCTTGTGCTCGTGGATGATGCCGAGATGAATCCCCCAACGCGAGTGGCTCGAGGACTTTCCGATGGTTGACGTCGGCGGACGATACTGCACCATGCACCCCCACACGCGGAGCATGGAGGTATCCCCTTTCGTCCCGGTCCACTTCAGGTGCGGAGACAGATTGCCTGTAATGGCGATGGTTGAGAGTATATTATGCACCCGCACGGCATGGTGCATCGCGTAGGTCCAGTAGATCGGCGGGAGCTTGGACTGCTTCATCAGCGCCCGTACCTTCGTCATAAGCGTGCGATTCATGCGTTGCGCTATGCCTTGCTGCTGGTGCGCGTAGGGGAGAGAAATGTGATGCTCGATCCCCTTTTGCGCCAAATAATCTTGCAGCTCTTTGCTTCTGAACTCCGCTGCGCCGTCCGATTGCCAAATTTTCAACATCTCCCCAGATTGCCGCTGTGCATGCGCCAGCCATAGGCAGAATACTTCGTACGCCTTGCTGCACACTTCTACGTTCACGACCCACACGTAGCGCGTCCCAACGTCGATGAAGGTGAGCATATACATCTCCGCAGTGCCCCACGTTGAGGAAGTCGCTGTACACCTTGTACAGCTTGGGGTAGCGGTTGGTTCCTGGTTCGAGCAGCGGGAATGGCTAGGGACTCAGCGCAGCTTCGGGGCAGACAGTGCAGTTGCGCAGATGTGTCGCGCCTCTTACTTTGGCACCGTCTGGACGTAGGAGTGCGCCAGGGGCGAAGACGCCAGCTTCGATGCAGCTTTTCAGTGTTGCGCGCGAGGGATGTCCGAGGCGCTGGTGCTAGAGCGGATCTGGAGGTGCGCATGTAGCGTGCGCGAGCTTTTTTAGGGTCTTCGTCAGGTACTGGGGCAGTTTTTGCTGCTGCTTCTTCTGCTTCTACTTCGTCATTAGCGGTCGTCAGCATCAACGCCAAGAATTCGTTGTCGCAAATTTCGGAGAGAGAAATATTGGTCCCAGGGATGTTTCCAGGGACAAAGGTGGGTTCACGTTGTTCGGGGGCAAGTTACGAAGGTGGGTTCACGGTTCATTGTCCCAATCGATAGTATACTATGGGTCGTGGTGCGGCTGGATATCAGGTGGAGGTAACGCGGGTGCAGTGCGACGCGGGGGACGACCGATGGGAACAGTAGCAGGTTCAGGCTCTGGTTCTTCTCCCCCCTTTTGTTCTTTGCAGGAAGTTCCTTATCCGCTGCCGTCGCCGCCAAATGCGGCGCCCCAGCCGCCACCTGCGTTAGCCCAGGTTCCGTCGGTGTCGCCCCAACCGCTAGTGTCACTTGTACCCCAGCCGCCAGCACTTCCCTTCATTGGAGGCGCTTTCTTCCTCTTCAGCGCCCCATGCAGCACATGCGAACGTGCCGGCATTCGTGATGGTTGACGCCGTGGGCGAATGGCAATCCCTGCATATGCCACCTGGATCAGGGTCGTGCAGCGCCAGCTCGCGTGTGTGAGGATGATGCGGCACTAACGGTCTTCCGTCAGGGTGCTTCCAGTCCCTACGGTTAATGTGTTCGAAGCGCAGTGGAAGGAGATCGATTAAGTCGTTCGAGTCGCCGCTCCAGCTCGAAGCTCCAGGTATGGAAATCTTTGCCGTCAAAGCAGACACACATATTTATTATTTATATACTCAGGAAACTTGATTGCGCAGAGAGAATCGCTTCTTTGTTGGGACGGGGAGTCTTGGGGGTTGAGCCATTTGTGTCGAGGGAGAAGGTGTGCGGGGCGGCGTTCTGGCCGTTTGAGGCCGGTTGAGTAGGTTGCGTGGAAGTTCCCGAGTTGCCATTCCGCAATGTTTGGAGTCCTTGCTCCAGGCTGGTGAGTCGCTGAAGCATTTGTGCGATCACGGCGATTCCAATCGTCGTCGTTTCCTCGCTCATCACAGCAGGGTTGGGTTGCGCTTCAGCCGTCAGATTTGTCTGACCACCAGATCCTCCGGCCATTCTCACACGCGAGCGTGTGCCGGACGCCACTTTCCATTCGTCGAAGATTTCGGAAGTGGCTGTGCGAAGGATTCCCGAGTCGCTCTCATACCATGCTACGATCAGAAATTGATCGTCCCTAGGATCACCTCGAGAAGGTTTGCACACCTCGGAGTAGTGGTGGTGGGCCCCTGACCTCAATAGCAAAGTGAATGTAAAATGCTTGAGATGAATTAAAACATGCAAATACAACAAATATAAATAGTAGTACAGGGGAATACGAAACGACCTAGCTAGCCATGTACTCTAAAGGGTACATTCCCTTATTACAACGAAAACCAACCGTGCTACTCCAGACAGTTACGGAACTGTCGGGGCAGAATCCTCGCCACTGCTGCTGCCTGATGGAACCTGCCCGACGATCGAGATCATCTCGTAACTGTACGACCCTTCGCGTCACTTCCGCCTTTTCGCATTCAACCTCGGTACTGTGTGCTTAGATTTTGCTGTGGTTAGGAGCGCACATTAATGCTTCATTCATTACTATTCGTAAAAGCCCTAAACGCATTCTCCCACAATCAGATTCGCCAAGTGGACCATGATCTAATTACGTATTTGCATGATGATTGATTTGTTTCCCTATTCAAAGTTATGAATTATAATGCTTGTTACATTCCTCACAAGCGCGCGAGTGTTGCTCCTCACAAGCGCATTGCATTATTATGCCTCCACAGAATGAATCTCAGGACGTGGTCGATCTTTCGGAACTGGGGTTAGTGTTGGACCTGGAAAAGGGTTACCCCTAGTTGTATTTTTCCAGCGATGTACCGTTTAAGTTAGACTGAAACTTCGCGAAACGCATTGTCAACCAGACACCCGAACGAAAAGTGCGACGAGCTATGAATTGTGGTAGTGTTTTGTAACTACTCGCATTAGCGAGCGTGAAGGACGAAGCAACCAATAGCCATGTTGCAGACCCCCGCGTCGCAGCCCATCTAACGAGTACCCCAATCGACCCCTGCGCTGCTGGAACTGGTTTGCATGGATCACGCCATCAATTCCAAATTTGATTTATTGCCTTCGCTGCATTATCGTCCCTGCATTATCGCCTTTGAGTTATTTTGTGACTTCGATGACTGGTTGGCGACTCGAGCTTATTGTGGACCAGTCAGTGTCCGCTTGACAACCCCCAGCAGCGTAGTGAAGTCCTTGTGCCTATATTTTCCGTATCGTAACTCCACACTGGCAGTGCAAACTGAACAGACTCGACAGTCCTATACTCAACAATTCAACAGCACCACCTTCAAGAGTCAAATTCGTCACTAGGCAGTAACTATCATGATGATGCTACTGGGATTCCTTCTCGTCCTGGCCATGTCTTGCGAGCCGCCAGGCAGCGAAGGAGCTCGTGGCCGGCTGCTTCCCTCCAATGAGAAGGATCGACGTGAGATGCTCTCACCCCCGACAACTTCTTTTTGTGTGTGTCAACGCAGCATGTGTCCTTTCCTCGGCGGTTAAAAAAGCGACTGAAATATAGTATTTGAGCCGAACCGAATGCAGGTAGTACGTGCTCTTCCAAGGATCTAACGACCCATCCTTCGAGAGTTCGCCGAGAAGGCTCACAGGGTCATTGATGATTTGAAAGTTCGCACACTCGTCGAAGCGCGCCCAGCGCAGGATTGCAAAGGGCAGGGCTACGAAAACGCTGCAGATATGTTATTTTTCTGATGTGAATTGACAGTAGACTGGCAGTGGCCTTGAAGAGCTGATTTTTGAAGGGCTTACGAGCTGCTCCCTCTTCCCTCTTCTTCGCAAAGCAATCCGTAGATGATCACGGCCTCTTAACTTCTCCCTACTTTCTTCCCCCTCCAGGCGGTCTCTCAGTCCAAGCTTCCCTCGGGCCCTCGGTTTCTGGAAACGTTGACTCTGGCGATTCGTGGGCTCACTTGCGTGTCGGAGATGGTGCTCCAGTGCAGCGAAGAAGAGGAGCAGGATGAAAAGTTGAAGGACGAGCAGCTTCAGGCTGCTGAGCAGGTGAGCTTGAAACTCGAGAAGCAGATAATGCTGGCGGCAGTTGGAGACATCGCGGATTTGGCAGCCCCCCAAATTTGGCTGTCGTAGGTTTATCTACAAAAAAACACACAGAAAGTCCCAACACACCCCCAAAACATCCCACCAATTTCGTAACCCACCTGTCACTGCCTCGAAGGCCCGCATTGTCACCGCGTCGCCTCTCTCGTGTCGCACATTACAAGTTTACCGCGAGCCGCATGTCCATTTTCAGCGGCCCGAACAAATCAACACGTGCTTACCTCATACAACCAACCCGTTTGAAGCTGGATACACCGATGTTAGCTACACTACGCAGTTCATTACACGAAATATGTTGCATCAAATGTCATCGCAGGTCGCTCGTGTCCCACAACACACTGCATCTGCTGTCCTAATTGCTGAAACTTGTGGTCCTACATGACACAATGTCTACAAATAAGTAGAATTCACGTCCGCGAGCGCGTCCACAAAACAAAAAGCCGTCCTCAACCCAAATGCTGCGCCTACTCACACAGCAGAAACTTGTTCAGCAGCATGACCTTCTTGTTCACATACGACTTGCACACATGCACCACCCGCTTGATGCACTCCACGTCCACCACTGAGTAGCGAGTCTCTACCCTCCCTGGGGTCAGCTGCACGCAGGTGGTCATGGGGCAAACTCCGGCCGCCTCATAGAACTTCACATATGCGTACCTCCCCTCCGTCCCCTCCGTGTCCGTTGCCCAGAACACGCACAGGCATCGTGCGTACCACTCCTCCTTCTCCGTCTTCGCCCTGACGGCGACGTCCGAAAACCACATCTCGGACGGGCTGGCCTTCACAAACGTGCCCTTGGCCACAAGCTCCCCGCCACGCGTACGCGGAATGGCCACCGCAGTGTGTACCTATACATACGGCACTCAAAGGGAACTCAGCGCATGCCTACACAAAACAACCAGTGGACGCCCCCCCCCCCTGTCATTTAAAAACACACCTCACTGTCCGCGCAACGTCCAGCGCAATACAATTGTGCTCACCTTGATGGCGGTGCCTGTCACACCTGCGGCTGCCAGGCACCTGCCCAGCTCCTTCATGTCTGAGCCTAATGCCTCCTTGTACGCCCACAGCACCGCGTCCTCTCCGTCGCTCACGTCCGCCGTCCTCGACTTCCTCGTCAGGACGTACGTTTGAAGCCTCACCGCCTGAAACAGAGGACATCTGCGATATGCACGCAAAGCACAGTTTTTTGGACCCCACTGTGTTCCACAACGCACCATTTGAGACGCCATTATAGAAGAACACCACCACTCTGTCATATATCACCGGTGTGCACGGCCCCCTCTGCGTACATCCACTCGTTCTGCATACCTCCCAGCATGCCCGTCATAGTCCGTCATCCACTCCGCATCCCATGCCGTCATACGAGTCAGCCGCCTAGGCCATCTCACCTCACGCAGCGCACTAACGTACTGCCTTCCTCCCCCCGCCAACGCCGCCACCTCCTGTGTGATCTCCCTCTGCACCTCCTCCTCCACGATTCGTCGGGGGATGTCCTTCCAGTTACTCCCGCGCACGGGCACCTTCACGGTGCCCTTGTGGGTGTGCTCCCACAGGTTCGTTGAGTACTCAAACGGCAACCCCCGGAGCATGATGCCGTCAATGAGATGAATGATCTGGTGCACCTTCGGTAAGTTCCACGCTGACGCTTGCGATCGAAAAGCGTCCTGCACTGCGTCCACCATCCTGTGACACGACAGCCATGCCTCTCATGATTAGTGTGATCTGTAATCATGCATCCAACCATGCCGTACTTCCCCGGTGCCGCACACACACCCATGCTTACGAACGTGACAGAGCATTGGATCCACATCACCCTCCACACACCACATCCGTCTCCCACCCACACGCCCACCACACATGACCCCACTCACATGTACGCGTTCTGCCGCACGTCACTGAGTGTCCTCTCCGTGTGCTTGCTCACGCCGAGCAGCGACTTGTAGAACACCGTGTACCTCCGGAACGCTCTCACCTCCTTGAAACGCTGCTCCTTCTCCTCGGCTCGCACCCTTCCATGTTGTCCGCGATGAGTATCGGCATCACTTGCATCATGCCCCTGTTCTCGAACGCCGCGTAGTTTGCCCGTGACTTGAACCAAGAAGTGCCACCCGGGATCCGGACCACCGTGGAGCGAGTGTCCTTCTTCTGCTCCTTCTTGCGCCTGCACACGGACGACAGAAGAGCCCCTGAATCAGTAAAAAAAGGACCAGCGCCCCTGCAGCCGACGTTGACCCGGGACACCCACCTCTCTAGCTCCCTCCTTTCCGGCTTGCTGAGGGGATAGATGAACTCGTCCACCATGTGTCCAAGGAACCCTCCGTCCAGCACATGCAGCACGTCCGCCACGCAAGCGAGAAATACGTTTCCCCATGTCGTCTCTGAAAAATTCCACCTCTCTAGTACCGTCTGCAAGCAAGTGGACAACAAAACGCTGTCTGCACGGTAACTTGAACAAACTTCAAACGGTGACGACATGCATTTTCCTCGGCAGCGGACCTTGCTGACCTGAACGGGGTGTGTCGACCATCGTCTGCGGATCTTGTCAGCATCGTCCTTCTTTGTAGCGTTCTGCATCCACGACACCACCTTCCGGTGCAGCTTAACGGTCCTCACTGTCGTCTCCGTCCTCAGGTCGGCCAGACTGGTCTTCTTGATGTAGCAGGAGCTGCAGGGCCGGTGTGAACCCTGCTGCATTGTCGCCGTGCACCTGGACGACTCGGGGTAGTCTCCCACCTCCGCAAACAAGCATGGGATACCCTTCACCACTTGTCCGGATGCATCTGTCACGTAAATGACCTTCAGCTTTGCGCTGCATCCACGAAAACAGGCCGCAACATCTCAGCAACACAATACACGCCGAGACGGCATTCCCCACCAACATGCCACAAACTACTAACCCTCGATGCTCCCTCAAGAGTGGCTCAAAAATAATAGCTATCGCCTCCTGAAACACACGGGTCTTCTCGGTGGACGTGGCCCAGTCAGGTGGAAAGGGCAGCAAGCCCGCCATGACGTGGCCTAGCTCCAACCATCTCAGTGCCTCCGGGATGTTTATCATACTTATTAGGACTGGCCACGCTTGTAGCCTCCCGTTGGCACTGGCGTGCGTACTGTCACTGTACACGATCACACCCAGAATGATCCCCACCTGCCCCGGGCGGCTAGCATGAGCCTGTTCCATCCATACTCCGGTGTCGGGGGAGCTGACATGCCTCTTCTCCTCCGTGTCCTCCTTGTCCCTCCGCGGCTCCGTCACGAATCCCTCTGAGTGTACGAACGTGCGCACTAGCTTCTGCACCAACTGCAATGCACATTAATCGACAAAACTGGATGTCAACCCCAAAATGTGCAGCCTCCTCAATTGGCGGACAAATAATGGCACACCACATGTCTCAAACCTCAAAATCACCAGCTCCATATGAAATGTAGCGGAAGGTTTGCCATCTTCCCACTGGGCCCGTAGCATTTGATTACGGTCTTCTGCCAGGGCACAAGATCAGGCGGAGCCATCATCTTACCGAACCTTCTCACGTCGACAAAGTTCATCCAACGTCGGACATCTCGCACAGAGAATCGGGGGTTCGCGAATATGTTGAGCAACCTGTTAACTCCCTTTTCGACAGGTCCGCGTCACGGAAAAAGATGTATAGCTCGGTAAGCGTGTCGAAACCGTCGTCGATACTACTTATGTCACTCTTCGCATCGTCGTTCTGCGCAATCGCGTCCGCGGGTGGATCTTCTGTTGCCGGAGGCTGGCTGGCGGGTCCTTCTGCATCTCCGGCGGCGTCAGAATGACGGGTCCGGGCAGGTGAGGGTGGGCGTTCGCCTCGCATGGCTCGTACTGCCTCTCTGTACGCCTCTACGAGCCGCTCCGCCCTAGCGTGGTTGATCTTCCGTCTGCATCGTGTGTTGCCAGCCAAGTGAGACTGCAGAGTATTATCATCCACGTGCTCGGCCCCACACGCCTCGCAGGCGTTGCCCAACATAGCTCCACTGGGTACTAACAAACCCTAATTCTACGCGTGACTGAACACTCTGAGCCTGTCTATATTGTATTTCTGCGTCCTGGCCCAGATGCGGGACAACCACTGTACGGTTCATCGGAGTTGTACGCGTGTCTGTCTACGTCCGAGCAGTTTGTCCGAACAGTTTGGTTACTCCCCGGTTGTAAGTGGTTAGGCATGTGACGCCCTGTTTTGCGCCATAGATGTACAAGCCTGTTACGTACGGCCTGAGCACTGAACCATTTCGGTACAATGATAACAGGGTCTCGCTAAGAGTCAAGCTCTTTCCAACTCATTAACATTGCTGTCCGGTAACATTGCAATAAATTTTAAAAATAACCACTGTGAGACAGTAGCACGAATTGCTGTCAAATCTGGCAACAAAACATTCTTAAATTACAAATATCACGCATCCAGCGCAGGCATCCATGGATTTGGCACCACAGTACATACATGGTCCCACTTGTGGGGGACATCGTAGATTTGTGGCACAAGGTAAGCCCAGCAGGCTCAATAGGCTCACCTAATCTTTGTGCACATCCAGAAGTCGTACTAAACCATCGTTCCAAATAACAGAACAATGAAACATCATGTGCTAAGCCGACAGCCCTTATCACAGCCCCGTGGCCCCATTACGATAGACCGCATATGGTGTACCAGAAAAGCACCCGAGTGAGATTCCTGGCCCACTTGCGTTGAACGCTTCCTCAAACGCCAACATCCCCTCTCCTCCCAAATCGCAAAAGACGCATGTGTCGCAGAGAGAAATTAGGGTTACTTATGGTGCGCAACAGCCCGTTTATCTCCCCGCGTGACGGTCCCCCTGTGTGACACCGGTTAAGTAGCCATCGCAGATGGGCAACATCGAGATGCAATGCACCCTCAGCGTCCGTCTCAATCGCGTATACATCTGCGCGCGCATCTTCCGCCGCAAGATATACGGGCCCACGAAACTCGGGCATCGCAGGCAGGCCGCCGCAGTGGACGCTGTGGGCCCGGTGCGCGTATAGCGCTGCTTCATTCGGTAGTGCAGCGCCACACATAGAGCAAGGGAAGGTCGACTTGTGTATGTACGATGTCACCTTGGCGCAGGGAGGCTAGGCCAATGTAACGAGGAATATTACACGGAGTTTAGGGGTTCTAAAAGAGGTGAAAGAAACAACAACCAGCTCTCCTCGAGGGAGTAGTACGCCCAGCAGCAAGGCTCATCGAACCCTATTTCCGCCTCGATTATGCAGACTTGGAAACAACTTGGTTACGTTTCATGAGTCGCACACCACCGCGCAGATAGGAGCAAAGCAAGGCTCTAGACCTAACGTCTAGAAACGTGAGAACGCACCCTATGCGCCCGACCGTAGGCATGGGTTGCAGTGTTATACACTGTACGTGGACCGTCAGCATTCGATATGGTTCTTGGTTGCATCCTCGCTTATTGCATCTCCGCAGCGTGTTACACTGACACAACAAAATTTCACAACATACAGACCACATGTATGCCACCTTGGTGGCATAGACAACCCGTCCAGTAGCGCGAGTGTTATGTGGACACTAGGGAGCCTCATCCACACGGTGGACACCATTCTAGTGCCAGACAAATCGGTGTCCACCAACTGAGACAGTGACGTGTCACACCATTATCCACTGGGCTGGACGAGGATAGTATCACGGAGGTGGACACTCATGTGTCCATCCCACTGCACTACACCCAGGCCTCTATCACGTACCGCAACGTACTATAAGCCACCGTCCCCCCCTTTTCGGTAGCATACGACGGTCCGCCATGGCTGCATTGGCGCACCTTCTTCAGTCCTTGCAGGCCCGTCCCGATGACGTGTTCTGCTTTGTGAAGACCCCCTTGCTAGCTACAACGCTGCCGTATAGCAGCCACTTCGACCCTGATTTGGGGTACAAGCCCAATGTCGAGCTGTGCGTGTGTATCCTCTTCAACGCTTCGGGGAGTATGGTCTTACCTCCGACCGTAGTCAGGCGACGCACTGGAGCTCGCCCGTACCGACACGGCCTCCGTGATGGCGGCCACGTGCATCTTGTTGGATGCACGTCATTCTGAGTGCATGTCATCCTAACGTCCTGCCGAGTGCTCGTGCTATTTGTGCTTGCATGATTTGCATGAGCATATGTCATTGTGCATGGCTGTTGGATATTATCATCTCTGTGTTTTCTCCAAGTCTACATGCTTGATCATGCAGGAGAAATTCAGAGCTTTCCAACGATACCAAGATCGCCTTATTCCGACCAAGATCGCCCAAGTTACAAGATTTCCAAGATTTGGATTTCTTATTACCTTTTGGGGTTATATCTAATTTGGGCGGTTATTGGGACATGACTATAAAGGGATCTTTGGTTGGGTGGTTAGGAAGGCAACTTTGACTTTTGGATTGGGGTGGCTAGAAGTTTCTAGCATGGGTTGCAAATGTTGCAACACCTAGGCAAAATCCAACTAGATTGGATTTTGCATGTGACACCTCAAGGACCTCATGATGAGGGTTGCATCCTTGCTGCTAGGAAGGTTCCTACCATCCTTCCCTAGCTCTTGGAGAACCCCTTCCCTCTCATGGTTCTCTTGGAGTCCCCAACTCCAACCTTTCTATGCTTCATGCTTGTATTTCCTCCATCACTCTAGTCAGCAGCAGCTTGACGTTTTCGATTGGTTCTCACTCTCTAGACCATCTTTCTAAGTGATTCAAATTGGAGATGGTAGATAATCCGAAGGCGCAACATCCTACCGAGCGGATTTGCGTTTAGTTGAGTAATGAGTTCGTCGTAGCTTCTCGAAGTGACGGATCCTGTACAACAAGTGGTATCAGAGCGGGTAGTCGACTTTGAGACGACGAATCGTCGCGAATTCTCAAACAATGTTGACGAGTGAGACCGTTTTCTAGTAGCTCTGCTCGAATCGAAGTATCCGGTTCGCGACGGCGTTTTTCGTAAAGTCGAAATTTCTGGCAGAATTCTCTCCAAACGATTTCTCAAGTTTCCACCGTTCATAAGGCCTCAATATGACTGGAACGGACTCCAGAGGTGCTAATGGCGAGATGGCTGGAGCTAGAGAGGCTGGAGAGCAGGGGGGAGTTGCTGGTGGTGGAGTGGGGACTCACCAACCAGCCAACCCTACGCTACCCTCGACTTCTACAACATCTCCAACAACCGTGGATCCCGTGAAGGCGTTCTCTATTGAGAAATTCATGGGGGAGGACTACGAGCACTGGAGCTTCCGCATGAGGCTGATGTACACCCAATACAAGCTATTGGATCTGGTGGAGGGGAAGGAGAAGATGCCGGATGCCGCGGAGCTGAAAGGAGCGTGGATGAAGCGATCGTTCGACGCGTACATGCTCATGGTGCAAGCGGTTGGAGGACGACAGCTTGACCACATCAAGGACCTCTTGGGTGATCCAGAGTGTGGCCCCAAGGCTTGGAGGAAGCTTCTGGATGTGCACTCACCGACACACGCTACCGGCATCGTGCTACTCGCGCGGCGGCTGCGCGACATCAAGTTCGTTGATGGAGAGCCGATGCAACCGGTGCTGGACGAGATGCGCGACATCTTTACGAAGCTCCAAGGCGGCGGTGTGGTGTACCCGGAGCTCGTGCAATGCGTGGAGATCGTGATACGGCTGCCGGAGTCGTGGTCTGCCCTTGCGATCAACCTCAACTCTCAACAGCCCCAGTGGAGCGTGGATTACATTCGCGCGCGCATCCTAGAGGAGGACTTGCGGCGGCGGAGTGTGGAGCGCTCGGAGGAGGGGGCTGGCTATGGAGTTGGAGGTGGGAAGAGTGGCTTCAAGAAGAAATGGAAGGGCGAAAACAAGGACAACATGAAGGAGGATGGCGGCGGGGGTCAAGGGGAGGTGTGCTTCTACTGCAAGAAGCGCGGACATCGTTGGCGGAAGTGCTACCAACGACCCAAGGATTGGACCCCGTCTTCATCGAGCAACGAGCATGGTGGCAAGAGGAGTGGGGGAGTCATGGGAGCTAGTGGAGAGGAGAAGGATGAGGAGAAAGATGGCAAATCTGAGGAGCGGAAGGCCGGGTTCTTCTTCTTCGTGAACGAAGGTGCAACCGACCTCGCTATGGCTGCCAAGGTTCTCCTACACCCTCTCACCCATTGGGTGCTTGATTCCGGGAGCTCTTGGCACATGACTCCTCGTGCGGACCTACTCGATGAGATTCAGCCCGCACCCATCTCTACAGTCAGATCCGCGACGGGCGCCAAGGCCAAGGTCATGGGCATGGGATGCGCCAAGTTCATGGGAGCGGATGGAGAGCTCGTGGGGCTGAAGAACGTGCTGTGGGTGCCGGACTTGTGCGCGAACCTGATTTCTACCGGCCGGTTGGGAGATGCGGGTGATTGGCTCGGAGCGCTATCGTGCCTACAACGATAAGCGCCTCATTTGGGACCTGCGGCAGAAAGGGGATGTCCACAAGGGCATGTGGCAGATCC